TGAAAATGCATTCATGAATGATAACACACGTTATGGAATAATTAGCTAATAGAAGGTAAATTTATCCATATCGACAGATTCTAGGAAAAAGGAGTAGTTGGGTAGTAACATTATTTCTTTAAATGCTTTATTGATAAAACTTATAGTCTACCAATAGTTATTAATGTGTGATTGCTAGTTTAGCAATGAATCTGACAATAACTGAAGCCATTACGTTTAATTAAGAGACTGTTAACGACCGGAACTAATTTAGGAACTCAGATTACTGGATGTGTTAACCATTTGGGTCCTTTATCAAATAAAAATCTCCGGGAAATTGGACCAGCTCGTTATTGGTTAATGCTGCGGATTGGACGGTAGCCAGCCAAGGGTGTTATTTAGCCCATGTGTCTTAAGGCCCCATCCCCCTAATCGTGTCCCCCTGTTGAATTCGTTTACAGGATTCCCATTTTATACCACTATAACCGTTTTTCATGAAAACATTTAGTGATAAGAAATCAACTCCAATTATTATTCACGAACAAATTTACTTCAATAATTTCAGTAGTAATTAAATGAAAAATCTGGTGCGGTCCGCGTATCACAACTTTCACTTACTATTCTTAGCAGAAATGATTATTATCAGACAAAGGGGAGGTGAAAGTAAAAATTATAGGGTCTATATTTATTTATATTTTATTGTGGGTATTTTTATTTGTCTAAGCTCCCTTGTATATACAAATTTTAATATTTATATCACAGTAATTCATACAATTAAATATTAAATAATACCAACAATAGCATTTATAGAAACCGCATATGTATATTAATATAATATTGAGGGAACCCGTATTATATTAAGCTCATCTAACGTATAAAAGCGTGTTCTAGTCTTTTGGACGAGCCCGCGTTCGCTCGTATCCCTTTAGTAGGAATCAAATTATGGTTTTATGTATAGTTGTATAATTGAGGAAAATAACAACTATTCTACGTTGCGATCTCTCCTTTCTCCTTTTATTAATTATCAAATTCCTTCATATTTTATATTTAACTATCTTTTATATTATAGATTGTTTTGAAATGGTTAATTGTTTCAAATAAAAAAAATCAAAGGTACTTTAGGGGAAGATAATGTTAAAAATTAACCATTTAAACCCTGTTATAGAAAATCAATCAAAGTAAAAACTACATTTTTTTTTAATTGCTTAATTTTTACACTAGAATAATGTATTCAATCAAAATCGTTTGAGCCATTTTCGAGAAAATCATACAAATGTGTTTAGTCCATAACATATAGTACCACTTCTGGTCAGCCGATTTTGACGAAAAAGTTGATGTAACATACTAGCATATAAAAACCTTAAATATGCAATTTCACTTTCGTACGACTTCTCGTTTTGGAGCTAGACTGTTAACACAAACACACACACACATTCCATTTTGAGGTACTTGGTTATTTGAACTCATGGGCCATCAAAAGTGTATTTCCATTGAAAAAAAATTGAAAATGTTAAGACCCTGTGTCCAAAAATAACGTTAATAGTATAGATTTAATATAGATAAGCTTTAGATTAAAATAAAACTGAAGCTTAACAATAAGTTAATTAATTAAATAATAATTAATTAAAATAAGATCAAGCGGTGCGTTAAATCTTACATTTAATAACTATCGACACTTATCAAGTTACTTTCAAATTTAATACAAATTCTATTTATATTCTGAAATCTTTGACCGAGCATGTTGAAGCATGAGATCTGGAGTGCCCTTTTCTGAATGTTTCGGGTTCGATTCTCAGCTGGGTTGTTAATATTTTTTTCTCAGCGGTCCCAGAAAATGAATTTCTCGGATTAACATTCTCACTCGGTTAAGTACGCTACGGTAAAATCAACGTAGCCGTCAGGGATTGGCAAAAATGACCTCATGGTAAACTTGCCGGATTAATTGCCCCTCATCAGTATCAGTACTAGTGTAAATACACTTTGATCAGACATAAAACGGATTAGTTCAGTATCATAGAACGCATAAGTTGTGTATCCCAGGTATTTGAAATCATAATAAACTGGAATAAACTTAAATCATGTCACTGAAATACATTAATAGTTGAAAGGTAAAGTGTCATCTGATTTTGAGCAATTAAGACATACTAATAGTTGAAGGATTTTTTCCACCTTGTTTTGATATCGCTCACCTAATATACAACAAAGTTTTGTAATTAATATTTCATTAGGTTTATCATTTTTACATAATTAAAAAAAATAATTAGGTTTCTATTGATATCTGTAATATATATTTTCTTATTTCTTTTGACGGCGAATTATTCATTGTTTATGACTTCTTGCTAAACTTTTTCTTGCGCTTTAGCAGGAAACAGTATAGTTATGACTTGAGTGATGCTTAAGTTATGCAATTGATAATTTTTTTTGTTAATTACACAAATAAAATAAATTTGCATTCATAAACTCACAACTAATTATTTTTTCGAGGAACCAGTCATGAACTAATTCATTGTTGTCATATTAAAATTTAGTGATAAATGTCAACCACTTTAAGCAAGTTACCATTGTATTTGGTTAATTGGATTGTTTAAAAATGAAACTTCAATCAAAGAAACATTCGTTATTTAATCAAAGAATCTCTAATCAGAGACTTTTTTTTTAGGGCTCCAGTTAATAAATTCCAATTAATTTAATGTGAATATTCATCTGCCACGATTTATGGAAGCTCTGATTAGTTAAATTGAAAAGTACCATCTTCTGATTGGACAGCACTTGTGGATACGGTCCAATGAGAGGACTCGGTTGGCAAAGGCCTCTCGCGAGGCAGTTGAAAGGGGCCTAACTTCCAGCTTTAGCATCCCAGGTTAATCATGTTAAAACTGAAATATATATTCCTAAACTCAATTTTCTCCGAGCTTTAACGCTCAAAGGACAAATGGATCCTTATGCCTCCACTGTCCCTTCAAGACATTTAGGGTCATTTGAATAACTTATCCTCTTAAGGTCCAGATTAGACTCTTGTGAAAGCGCTGAGGAGGGTTCGCAATTTATTGTAAATGAGTTTAGAATTTTAGTAAAATTCCTGAAAATGGAAAAATAAATTATTAACCATACGACAGAATGCTATAACGTTAATATGCTCCTTATGATGAATAATTTCTGAATAATAAAAGTCATTTATTAGTGAATAGTTTATGGTACTGCCTCTCTCACTCGAATAATAAATAAGTGGTACATTCAGGGGTTTAAGTTTCAGTGTAAAAAAACACATCGAAAATGAAATGAAGAGGAACCAAACGACCACCTATGGAAGTTCACTTTAAATTTATTGGTAATCTTCCTCTTTTTTCAAGAGGAGCTAGAATGAGACAGTTATTTATTTTAACAAAATATTATTGTGAATCAAAGTAATGCTAAAGAAATATTTTCCAAAAAAAATGTCTAAGATCTTAAGCAAAATCATATGTTTCCTCTCTGGAGAAGAAATCATAAAAAATCTTTGAACCTCTCACGCAGCACTCTCCAACTTTATTTATTTTTTTTTTTTTTTGGGTGGGAGAGGGCTTTTTCTCTTTTACCTAACGTGCTAACTTTAAATAACTAAACCTTAATAATCGTAAACAACTCTAATCTTAACGTGCATTTAACATCTTTTTAATTTTATCCAATTATGAATATTCACAACCAGAAGATATGATAATATATAATTTTAATTAAGGGAGCTGATGACCAACAGGTTTTACGTCTTTATTTTACAACAACCAACCAACAAAAAAAATGTTCTTTACCCAGAATATTATCACTAGTGTTGCCTAAAATCGGTCTTGGTCTTGCAAAGTGCAACTGTTGCCAAAACAAGGCTAGGACTGGTAAAAAAAATCGATTTTTTGTATAAAAATTACGGCAAAATAGTTACTAATACTTGACAATCTTAGTTACTATATGTAAATAATTGGTATAATCATTATACTTTTGCATTTAACTTCTGTAATTTTTCATTCGGCCTTAGTTAGGTTTCTCGTATCTAAAAAAATACAGTAATATCTCTATAGTAATAAGCTAATAAGTAACTTTATTTCCCTGAGTCAATGAAATACTTTAGATTAGGAAGCGAAAAATGCAAAATAGACCCTATAATAATACCTTTAAAAATATACAAAGCTATGTGATAAATTCGTTTATAAATTCCCGCAATATAATTTGTATCGTAACGAAAAAAAAAAATTAACGGGAAAATATAATACAATAAAGGGCCACAATTCACCCCTCATAGTTTGCTTTTAATGTTATTATTAGGTCTGCATCGAAAACTGGAAATGTAACCATTTTAAAAAAAGATGCTATGAAAACGAAGTAAAGCTAAGTAATACCTATTCTCTAACTTAGTACTAGCATATACTGCTTAACCGTCTGATTTTCCATTGTTAATTATTTCTTTAATAGTACTCACTTTATAGAGGCTGGGTATGCCCCAGAAGGGTCGATTCACGGCTGATCTAACATAATAAATTACTTGCATAGCTTAGGAGGACAGCTACTTACTCAAAGAGCTACGCCGCTTCCATAGTCTATAACTATACCTAAATCTAGAATTATTTTTAAAATTTTGGTTAGTCCCATTTTATTCAAAATATCTTTTTTTTATATAAATTATTACTTATTTATATTTAGAATCACTAAAAAATAATTATAATTTTCTCATCTCCATATTATAAATTTGGATTAATTTAAATCCGATGTATATTTTGTTTAATTCAAAATGGGGGGTGATGGGTTCAATCCTATCGTTATACAAAATCTGAAAGAGAAAAGATGTCATGAACATCAGAACAACATCAATGACAAAACTTTTTTTTTTTAATGAAAAAAACATTAATATCCGCTTTTCATTCCTAGTCAGATCCAATGTCATGAAGCAAAACTCTTTCAATTAGTATTCATTGAATGGGAGGACAATCCTACTGGCAGTGTTCTCGGTCATGTGATACTCTCCACCACAACAGGCACTGAGGCCCTAACAAGCACTAGGATGCAGCACACCAGCACAATATAAATCCACAACGGACGGATGCGCCATATCGAGCGGCGGAGCGGTAATTAGAAGGGTCGAGTGGCGGGACTCGACAGCTTTCAGGCACGTTCCCCATCGTCAATGGCCTCTCAATGTTTGCCTCCGCTGGGCTATCTCCGTCAGGGTCTTCGAACTAGAGAGGGTTTTTCATTCCTCCATCTCCCTTCCCTTATTCATGAACGGATTCAAAAGGCAACGTCACCATTAGAGGTGGTAGGTTTTTGGTGTCACAGAAAAAAAAATTCATAAGGATAAGACTTTTTAGATTCATTACGTTCTTTCTACCTCCGCCGTTAAAACGTTGAAACATCTCCGAAAGGTTAAGTAATTTTAGAAACACAAACAAAATCTAACAGATGGAGTTTGAGAAATCCAGCTGGAAGCAAAACGCTTATGCTTCTACTAACCCAATTTTAGTTTTAAATACACCGTCTTTCCAAGAAGATAAAAATTGGACTCTCAGTAAGGGTGGTTTCTAGTAGAACAGCTGATTATGGAGGGTTATCATATAAATATTTAAATAATAATAATAATAATAAGGCTTAACGAACCCGAAGGTTCGATGCCGACACCACCAATCGCTTGTTACACACCTCCCTCCATCTTTCGCCGTCCAAACCCAGTCCCTTCAGATCGGCTTTAATGCAATAAATATTTAAAAAACAATAAAATTAATAAATAGTGACTGATAAAAATGAAAATGATAACTCGCCAATTTTATTTTTATTTATTTATTTAAATCTCTGCCCTGCCAGTTTGGCAATACGAGTGTTTGCAGTATTGGATAGCTAGACGTGTGTGCATAACTAGCCAATACTGCAATCGATACAATAAGATTTTCTGTTTAGCTTGGCTCTTCCATCCTCTGTGGTGGAGCTTCTTCTCTTCTACCCAAATAGAAGTGGGCTGGACCAATGATGTCTTTCCACCCGTACACAAAGGCCTTGTAGTGCGGGTAGTTCTCTCTGGTCACTAGCTGAGGTAGATCGCGCTGTGATAAGACATAGAGCCCAGTCTCCCTCAGCAACTTAGCCCTCAATGCCTCATAGGCGGTACAGGCTAATAAGACGTGCTCGGCGGTCTCCGGTACCCTACAACTTGGGCATAGGGGATCAATGTTCTTACCATGTTGAACAAGCTTTGCTCGGAATCCCCCATGCCCCGTGAGGAATTGCGAGACCCAATAGTCCGGGAGGAGCCATGTAGTTTCCATTCTTGAACCGACGGTGGGGAAGTATTTCCTTAGGGTTGATCCTTTTGGCGTTGTCACCCAACGCCGATTCCATTCTTCTAATGTGCATTCCCGGAGAATCCTCTTCCATCTGCTTGGGTCTTCACTGATCCTCACTCGGAGATTAGCCGGTAGATCCACCAAGCCATCTCTCTTCATTTCGTGCCGAAAGTAGTCTTCACGAAGTTGAAGATCAATTGGAATACTTCCGGCTAAGACTTGTACCGCCTCATGAGATACTGACCGGTACGCCCTAGTGACACGCAGCAGAGCCATACGCTGGATCGTCGCCAATCTTTTCTTCTGTTGGTGCGAGAGAGTCTGACTCCACGCAGGGGACGCATATCTCAGGATACCCAAGATAACTCCGTTATAAATAGCCAAAGTGGCTGGGTATCTGAGACCCCAAAAGGCGCCCCCGATGCGACTCAGTCCATTAAGAGCCAGGGCCACTCTACTTCTCAGATAGTCCAAGTGAGGGGTGAAGTTAAACTTTCTTCCAGTCCTTATCCCAAGATAGGTGACCGCCTCACTTGGACGTATCGTTTCTCTCTGTATATTCAGAGTGATAGGGTGGGCCCTGTCAGTCTTACCCCTCAAAAGAACGGACTGAGTCTTTGAAGCCGCCATCTTCATCTTCTTTCTCTCGCACCATTCTCCTACAAGGTTGGCGCACCGTTCAGCCTCTTCCTTTAATCTGGCTCTGCTGTTCGATGCCACCACGACTGCGAGATCGTCTACATAAGCAGTGGCGGGGAACCGCTGCTCTTCCAGTACTCCCAGCAGCTCGTCAAATACCAGTTTCCACAAGGCTGGACCTAGTACAGATCCTTGTGGGCATCCTCTTTCTACAGAATCCTCTACAGCAAAGAAGTTACCTTTTATCATTAATTTGCGGTCTTCTAGATAGCTTCTTAAGAGGTCGTACAGGTTGCTGGGAGCTTCATACTTTTGCAACTGCTGGAGTACACTCGGCCACCAAACGCTATCGAAGGCGGAGGATATATCAAACAGGAGAAGCATTACATACTTCTCCGCCTTCTCTTCAACGTCACGGCGCACCCTGAGCAGAGCATCTGCGGTTCCCCTACCTTTAGTACATCCGTACTGTCGTGGATGGCTAGCCCTTAAGAAGACTGGTCGTAGACTCCTCATCAGCAAGGTCTCCAACAATTTACTCATTATAGGAAGGAGACATATAGGCCTATATGACTTCGCTAACTGCTTGTCCTTATCTCCTCCCTTATAAAGGAGTCTAACATCAGCAATCTTCCATATTTTAGGGAAGTAACCCCTGTCTAGGCAATCATTGAACAATGCTAACAGCCTTTGTTCAATGTAGGGGATACTATTCCTTAGTATTGCTGTGTCTATCGAATCCAAGCCAGGAGCTCGACCAGTCCTTTGCCTATCCACGGCAGCACGGAGATCCCATATGTCCCATGGTGGGCATAGGTCCGTACCTGGTGGGCATACCGTAGTGCGTCTAATGTATCTCTCCTCTTCATTATCTTGGGACGGATCATCCCTGGGGTAGGTTTCCGCAATGAACGTTTTTGCCGTCTCCTCCAGAGTGGTTGCCTGAGTAGCTCCGCGTTTCAATGCGGCTATTACCTGTTGTGGATTTAACTTACCCAAGGCAACTCTGTAAGGGATACCCCAGGGGTTCTTGGACGATTCTTCAATAATGAACTCGTCCCAAGACTTCCTTTTTCGAGAGCGCACTTCGTTTCGGTATGCTCTGGACTTGGACCTATACTCGTCGCGAAGTGTGGCGCGCCTCTCCTCACTACCACACTTTTGATAGGACCGCCGGGCCTTGTAGAGCTCTCTCTTCATAGCAGTTAAGGCCGGCGTCCACCATGGGATAGGTCGAGCTCTCACCTTCCGTTGCTGGAGGGATTCCTCAGCGGCGTCACGGATGACATCTGTGATCCTAGAGACCCTATAATCTAGACTATCTGTCTGGTCCGTCTCCGCTTCATCCCATTCTTCATCTACTAATTTTTCCTCCAGCGTTGACCGGAAGGCTTTCCAATTTGCCCTTCGGGTTAAATAACCCATAGCGATGCCGTGGGAACTTTCCATATTTTCCACAAGCTTAAATGCTATCGCTTGGTGGTCGGAACTCGTTTCAGATCGGAGGATCCAATCGTTGATGCGACTCGCTAGCACCGGTGATGCCAGCGTTACATCAATCCAGCTCTGCCCTCGAGCGCTAGAAAACGTTGGCAAGGCAGAGGGATCATTCATTACCACTAGCTGGCTTCGGCCAATGAATTCTCCGAGTTTAACGCCTCTTCTATTCGTTTGATTGGATCCCCAGACCGTGTTCCAGGAGTTGGTATCTGAGCAGATGATGATGTTTCTATAGGAAGCCGTGATCATCTCCATGGCGGATATGTCGTTGTCTATATCACCTCCGTCAGGAAGATATGATGAAACCAACGTAAAGGTAATATTACCCCATTTGATATAACATGCGACACAATCCGCCGTGGTAAACTGCCTCAGATCCATCACATCGAGGTTTGGGTTATTTACCACTATAGCTGCCCTGGGCCTCCTCTCTCCACTGCTCAGAACTATAACCCTCGATGTGAGGCCGAACCCCGTGACCATGTTCCCACGGCAGCTCGGTTCTTGAATCGCCATAACATCATAACGTCCAACAAGAGCCCTTAACTCATCCGCTACGATGCGACGACGGCCCATGTTGAGCTGGAGAATGGTGATATTATTCATAGTAGGTCCTCTTAGCCACCTCGTTTGACCATCTTAAGTGTACAGGGCACTCTCGGCTGCCCGCTTTATGCTTCGTTTGGCTTTGCGGTGCACTCGCCCGCACACAGTTAATACAAGTCGGGCCAGTTTGTTCCTTCTTCCTTGGACAGTCCTTGAGTATGTGTCCATTGGCTGCACACCATATGCATACAACGGTATCCACCGTACAGGTAGCCTTCGTGTGTCCATAGCCTTGGCACTTTGTGCAACGAGGGGCGTCGAGGTAATCCTTAAACGTCATGGACCACCATCCTCCATCTAAAGCTGCCATTTCCAACAGCTGGAACCTCACCATTGGGTGAACTTCGAGTACCCAGTTCCTACTTAGTCCATTTCTAGATACTGAGGATAATAATGGCCGTATATCATCATTAATGAGTGTAGTAGGGACTGACTTCTCGTTTATTCTTCCCCACAAAAATCTCGTTAATTCAGCTGAGCCCCATGAGTGAGGGACACCCCTCACCTCAATCTTAGGTTTCTTTCTTTGTGCAAGTTTTGCCTGAAAACCTTTCTCCCGTAACCCCTGCCAACCAATTATTTTAGTGGCATGGGTACTGTCTTCTAATCGGACTAAAACGGAACCACCTTTGGTTGCTCGAACAATTTCAGCCTTAACACCTATTTCTGTGGGGGAAGGCAGGGCATTGATAATGTCCACCGGACTCTTACCGGTACCGCTAATAGTAATAAACGCCGGCTTGAGGGACTGAGTAGGTTTTAAAGGCAATTTTCGTACTATTTCGGCCAATGACTTCGGCTGATTTGGACCGGACCCAGTCAAAGATTCCGCCTCTGTCTTATGCGTTTCATTTTCTGTTTGTAGGCTTTCGGGACCGGTAGACTTTTTAGTCTTTTTCCTGTTTCTTTTGCTCTTAACGACTGTAAAAGGAACTGCAGCTGGTAAAGGCTCAGGCGGGGTCACATTAGTCGCGGATGACTTTTCGTTGCTTTTTCCAGGGATGGCGAGGGGACCATTAGATTTCATAGTGGTTCCTGAGAGAGATTCTATAACCTTCGGCACTGTTTTCTCTATTACGATGTTGGTTATCATCGAATGTACTGAAGGCGAGGTAAGTGTTTCCTGAACCGCTTTATGGACAAGTAAAGATAAACCCTCACTCTTATCTTTGTACTGCTTTGTCCTTTCCTCCAACGATTCAATAGCGTCAATGAACCACTGATGTGGTTGGATGTGGTCAACCAATAATGTGGTTTTGGTCTTTATTTTTAATACTTTTGTCAGCTTTAGTTAGGTATATTCGGAGGTTTTCTTGAATTATCTTTGCTTTTTGAAGGAAGTCATTTGAGATTCCTACCTCAGAAGCTTCTGCGTTATCAACAAGAGAAACCTTTCTCGCCCTTTTTGCGGTTGAACGTGAAACCCTTGGAGGGTCCCCTTCTTCCCTTTCATCTCCCTCCATGTTGTCTATAATATTACTCCTGGACAAGTCTTTAAGGAGTAGACACTTAATAACTTAAATAGTAACAGTAATAATATTTCTTATCACACAAACAGGTTATACTTACAAATTTATTTTTTTTACACAGATTCAGTAAAGTTAATTTCTTTGTGCTCCCTGGGAAGGTCTTTTAGAGATCTTCTACTCAATATAACACTCGGAACTCAAATTTTTTCAAACAAGAACTCCTTCACGAAATTTATACGACTTAACCTCTCCTGTCCAAACTTCAATCTATGTACACTATTTACACTTACAACTAATAACAACAATAAAAAACATGATAAGACACTAGAAAACAATAAGATGGCTATAAACAATTAGAACAAAACGAAAACACAAAACACTGCCTCAAAAGATAGCTCTTTAGTAGATCGCAATTAATCACAGTAACCTCGCTATCACTCTAACTCAGACATCCGATAACTCGCCAATATAGGCACAAAATAATGTTTGTATGTATTTGGATTGGTGACCGAACATCGGGAAAAGCCATGTCACCCGAGTCTCTTTTCCTTCCCCTCCCCAAAAGTATGTAAGATCCGTCACATCCGACCCCAGATTTTGTTTTCCAGAGTGTTAGTAGCCCGAATGGTATGGTCCATGTATGGCCTCTTTCTGGTACAGAAGTATAGGTCCTCATTCTCCTACTGACTCTGAGCAGCAATAATCCGGGGATTTAAACCGATGTATCGCAGTCCGTGAACCTGAGTGAGTCAGTGGGAAGGAACTGCCTAGAATGGCCCAAGGGGATCAGCTAAGGAGCTATGGGTGCTTGGCTAAGAACACGTTTGTACAAAGACCTCATCGCGCGGCTAAAGATCTTCAGGGTCCATAGCGCCAAAAATAAAAAATAAAAAAAATAACGAAAAAAGGTTTTAGTTAAGTAATCAAATTTAACCGGTATATTTGGTCAACATTTGAATTGAAAGACAAAGAACTGACAAATTAAATGGAAACGTTTTATGTAAAAATGAAATAAATTGACAAAACAACTATCAACAAACTTCTAATTTATGAAGTTAAAAAACAAAATTTAAATGTAGAAAATCACATTATTGTTACTAAGTATTTTTGTTTAACTGAAAAATAAAAAATAAAATAAAAAACGGGAGACTTCTAAATATAAAAGGCTGAATAGTAAACACCAGACTTGTTGACATAGTTGGGAAAAATAACACTTGTCATCACAACAGTTCGAATTTCAAGAAAACTAGTCCATTGTTGATCTGATTCCAAAACACCACAAGAAGTATTTTATAGAATAGAAAACCTGATGTCATAATAGTCCTAGTGGATGTAATAAATAATGGAACAATGTAGAAATAAGGGTATGAGTAAAGACATTCACATAGACAAAATCTATTCCTCCAAGGCCCACTAAATTTGAATCCAAACAAAGTTGTGGCTCGGCCATGATTATTTGGCAGCTTGAGGGCCGACTCTTCAGGCACTTACGGGACGTTACAATATTACTAACAAAATATTTACAATACATACTTTTAACGCCGCATATGCTCGGTAAAACGCTTTTATTTATTTTTTTCTCATCATTCACCCCTTTTTAAATGTTGATAATGAAATGTTCATTTATTTTTTGTTTGGCAAAAAACTGAGAGATAGTGTCCGAGAAATGTATATTGTTTAAATATTTGTCTTCGTTTGGGATGTATTATCGCATTTATATACACACCAGTCCGGTAGTATTATCCAGTCTTAAGGATTAAGACATTAAAATAATGCCATAATAATGCCGGAAAGTCAGTCTGGAGCGAGATGCCGTTTGTGTAGGACGTCTACCCCCACCATTTTCACCGGCTCCAGGCTCGTCTCGTCTCGTCTCATCTTCACTTCACATTTTGAAGACCCCAGCTGTGTCATCGATTAGGATCGATGTGCATATCGATTCCCCCACCACCGACTGCTGTTTTCATTAGCTGCATAAGGTAACCTGGTTGGAAGCAGAATCTCGATCTTGGCTCGTTTATTTTTTTTATTTTTCACCGCCGCTGAAATACAGTAAATTACTTTATTTTTTTCCAGGCTAAATTTGTTTTTCTAGACGTTAAATTGTATTTTAGTTAATTTTTATTACAATTTTAGAAGTTGATTTCGTTTTTGCTATATTAATAATTGTTAATTTGGTTTTATGTTCATTGAATATTATATTTTGTATTTTTTATTCATTTCAGTGAACTTCATACCACTCTTTATTTTGTTTTTTAACTTTTGCATATATCTCTTTCATTTAATACAACTGTGTGAACATTCGGAAGGGGATTTTCATTTTCCCATTATTGATTTCTTGAATATTTTTTTTTCTTTATTATTTCATATGCATGCTTTTTAACCTTCTCATATTCACTAATTTTTTTCCCTTCTCTCCCACCATTTAATTTTACTCGTATTTTCCCCACCTTTGAAGAAACTCACCGAGGAAGGGTTTGTGTTTTAATTTTGAAATACCTTCGGCCCCAACAGATATATATATATATTACAAGAAGATATCGTTATATCTTAATATAATATTAAGAAATATTTATAGAATTGATATTTTTTTTATAATCAAAATAATTGAATTCCCTGAAAGAGGGATTCTCTGTCGGGTCTTCTGGATAGATGGAAGTTAAGTGAGATATGTTTTCAGCTTTGTTGTTATATTGAAGAGTATGGATCGATAAATCCATTGATCCGAAAAAAACACTTGTGTATAATAAAAAGTATTTTTATAATTGATATAGTAAAACTATATAATAATGAGTTGTTTAAATAAGTTTAACCAACTATACAATTAAGATCACCCGATTGAGAACACGAGCTTCCTAAGTGAATCGAATTGCTACAGTGCGCCTGTTGGTGTTACATTTGAAACCACTCGCAATGGAAGGTTAATTTATTATTCATACTACCCCTACCCGTCTTAACCAATTAAGGGAAGCAGGTTGGTATACAGGTATTGGAGTGGAGTAAAATTCACGTGTCATTATAGTCAGCAAGTTAATATTATTCCAGTGAAGCTAATGCGGTAAATCATGTAATATAGTAGCATCTATAAAATATTATTGAACTAATATAATTAAGCACCCTCCGTTGAAAAACTTTTCTTTTTCGATCTAGATTAAAAACAGTAACAAATATTAAATTCTCGGCTCCAAAGGATTTTTATTAAATGAGTTATTTGAGTATGGGACTGTAAATCAATTGTTTTCATATTTAATTAGGACATTTCTGTCAATTTTCTTGGAAGAAAATAGCAATACCTACAAGCGAACTAGAAGATTATTGTCAATTCTTCTTCTTCGTTCTCCCCCCCCCATTCAGGTTGTTACTGACATGAGCCATATTTGGAAAGTGTTGCGTATTTTTGTTTTCCAAATCATCATGAAATATGTTGAGAGACTATTTTGCACCTTTTGGTCAGTTACCTCCGACTTCCGCAGCATTTTTAAGGGATTGTTCCCTTGCAGCTCTTTGGCTTCGCCTGATGATACCTGAAAAGAGAGCCAGCTCCCAATAAAACTTTCGGCTCCTAATTAGCACTGGTGGTTGCTGCTGCCCTCCACCAGGTAAGTTTATCGAACTTCCGGTGTAGATCCGCTGAAATTATTGTCAACTAATTTAGTATAGGCTTACCTATGGGTTATTTTTCGAGCTACACGGCAAACAAATGGTATAAGTAAATTTTTAAAAAATTAGCTATCCCTTCATCACCCACCCTCACGGGTTTAAATTCATTGCAATAAATCTTAAATCTCAAACTTCGTTACCTTAAATCTAGAATTTCATAATATCTAGTCACATACGATCACTTACAAACCTAGCTTATTTGGAGGCTGTGTAAATAGAACAAGAAGCAAATAATACAATTTCAAAACTTCACCTAAGCCGAATTTTGTCCATTTTTCTAATAAATAGCTGATATATAAAACAACACATTCCTCATGATCCACACTAATGACGGATGTTTATACTTCTGATACTGGTACTGCTGGAAGAAACTAGTCCAGGAAATTGGTCTTGTGGTCCTTTTACCTATCCCTGACGGTTACCTGGTGGTTGCCGCCGCATACTTAACTGAGTGGTAGTTAGGGCCAAGATTAATTTCCGGAACCACTGAGAAACAAATATTAACATTAACGGACTCCGGTGGAAATCTGACCCACATGCTTCAACCGGCCGTTATGGGACACAAGCCCCAACGTCCTCATATGGGCTATAACGTCCTCATAGATGTTAGTAACTATTAAATAACTTCGGAATTAATATTAGAAATTTATTTCATAGCAAGATGTTCTGTTCCACAATAAAAATTTTAATTTGTCTAGAAAAATAATATTTTATCAGCGATTTAGGTCTCAGTAGTCTCAGTCATAAAATATTTTATTATTAAAGCATAATAATAAAATATTTTATGACTGAGTTTTAAAAGTTTAGGAAGGAAAGTCTCTTTCCCAATGTCCTCATTATGCAAATAAATATAAATCAATCTCAACTTGATTAATTATTTATAGGCATGTTTCAATAACAGTATCATTTTCATTTATCCATGTAGAGCTGATGCAAATACCCGTTTAACATCATAACATAACATGGTATTGACATACGAGCTTTTAAAGATGAGTAACTGATTTACGAATCAAAATCCTATTTTAAATAAAAGTTTTGAATTATCACTTTTTAACAAATAACACAACAAAAGAACTATAATCTACATAGCTAGAAAGCTTTCATATAAAGTTTACATTTTATTTCTTAAAAATGAAACATTTTATTGCCATGGATTTTATTGGCCTAACAAGAGTTACCAAAAAAATACATACATTGAAAAAGTAAAAAATCTAGTGTATCCACTCACACGACTTTCCTACCTATTTTAGAAACGTTTTTATATATTTACATATGTTCATGAAGAAACAAAAAAAAATTGAATTTGATTTATTTTCCTGAAAATTGATCAAAGAAAAGATTTGAGTACTATTTAATTGATAAACTAAAGCTATGTAAACCGGTTTAAGGTAGATCAGTGTACAAATTTCAATACTCTCTAATATTTCCGTTCACAAACTTTTGCCATACCTTAATTTTGTCAAACAATGATTTCTGTTTAAAAAAATCTGGTGGGCGCAACACACAGCTTTCAATTAGCGCTCAACTTTGAATAGAAATTATTTTTTGCCCATGTCGGGCAATTAAATAATTTTTTAATTGAGCTAAAGTTAAAAAAAATACAGCTAATAAATCATAAACACCAATAAAATAACAAAAGTTTTATTTATGATATCTTCGGTTGATCATGGATTGTACTACTATTAGTGATTAAGCTGTTATTTTCCATGGCAATTTTTTCTAAAACGGAAATAAGAGATTCGCATTGTCTGTCATAGATAGGAAAAGTTGTCACACTAATTGTAAGTGGCTACTGTTGGAATATCACAAAAGGAAATTTCAGCAACCTATTCCCTAATTTTATTTTCTAAAAGGTTACATGATGATTTTTCGGAATAAACAGACGATAGATACCTAAATATTTAAATATAATATCAGATTTAGAGTTATTAAACTACAGTAAATATATTTAAGATTATAAACGTATCTATGAAATATTTTTATATTTCACTTCTTCTTTTTTAGCAACTTTATATATAATTATTTATTTTGACTATTTTTTATTTTGACTGATCACCCTAACCATTCTTCTCTTCAATCATTTACTACAGTCAACCACCAATAGGCAATTAATTAAACAATAATGAATGTCATTCATACAACAACCATTATAAGTTAATTACAATTCTAAATACAGCTCTTGCTTGGATATATATTTAATATTTTAATGTAAAACATTTAAATAAAAAATACTATATTTTAGTACATATTTAGCAAAAGTGATGATTTTAAACTATATTGATTTAAAATAATAAAAAAAAAAGATAATCAGTAAATGAAATGAAATATGACTAAATATAAGATTTATTGACTTAGATATCAACATAACGCAATGTGATAGTTCCCAAACTCAGCCCTGAGATCAGTAGTGAGTATCGGAAATCTTACAAACCGTTCCTAAACTCTTTGATGTAATAATGGACAAGTTCCTTAACTCAGGGCTGAGATCATTGATTTGAATCGTAAATCTAACAATCAATTAGCATTTAGTTTAGGAAGTGCCCTATAAGTTAAAACATAAACAGATTTTGTAAGTGTGAAGCAGAAACTGATTTTAAGAGAAAATGATTGATTTCGAATATACATATTTTACAAATTGTTTATATATATATTAGGGTAAATGCACTAGTAATAGACTTTACAATTCATTTAAATGCAATAAGCTCTACACCCCTAAAAAAGAATGCAAGAACACTTAGGAAGGTGATGCCAGAATCTCAGGTGATATCGTGCCATAATAACCGATTCGATGATTTTTCAATGGAGCAAGACTGGGTGTTTGTTTCAAGCCACTTTCCTTATCACTTTCCTTATCACCTGATTTTTTTATTTATTCATCTGTAGTTTGCCATTTTCTTTTTTAAAACTGTGGAGAATTTATTATTATTTTTTTTATGTATATACAAAAATATGTCGAGCCCAAAACCTTAGTGTCTATTACTCATACAAAATACGCTATTTCCTAAGTCTGTTGCCAGTTAAACCCATTTGTAAAGATCCACCGTCGGAACATAAGTTGTGATTCACATTAATGTTGAAATATTCTCTTAAAGTGTCTATTAACGATACATTTACCTCACTGAATGATAGCAGATTGGAGAAGTTAAGTTTCTTGATTTATTAATCCATGTTCATTGATGAGAATCAAAAATCCATCAGCTAATTCTTATATTCAGTGCTAATGTAACTTGTGTTACAGGATAAGTTCCTTAACTCAGTGCTGAAATCACTGATGAGTATTCATATTCATCAATGGATTAGCACTGAGTACAGGAACTTGCTCATTTTAAATATATCTTAAGGTTATACCTTAACATTGTGATTCTGAAAGAAGTGTAATTTATTACTGTGAGAAGTTATAACAGTATTATATCACTTTATAGTATCTGTAATATAAGTATTCCAGTAATGTATGCATTAATCAGAAAAATGATTGTTCTAATCAGATAAAGTGATTATTCTTAATGATTCTGATACACTCGATTAAAACTATAAACTGTTTACATCTAAACGTCAATTAGGCTTATTTTAGTTGTATTGAGAATAATTTAACCTGTTGATTCTTGAAATTCACTATTCACTTGAAATACACTATTTTTAAAATAGCAATACAACAAAGACATTTTACTACGAAATTTGGGTTCAATAACCGAAAATAAATTTTATAAATTTGAAATTAAACTGAAAGGATCACTCTTACTACAATTTTAATTGATTTTAACGCAAATAAACTTCACTACACTAAGTAAAATGAAACAGACCAAATAATACTAAAACTCAGACCACTACAGTAAGCAGAAGCTTGTAATTAAATCAAAATGAACGGCTCGTTCCTGACTGATCGAATTACCTCCTTTTAAGTTCTCCAATATTCTTTTTAAAAAAACGAAATATATCATTATGATTTGCTAAAATATTAATATATTAATTAAAAAGTTTGTTTTATGCTTAATATATTTTGAATTTCATTTTACAATTCTAACTGTACTTAGAAGTTTTTTAAACGATATTTATAAATACATGTTTTTTTTTTAAATTTTAGTACATTACGACACAAACCATTTAATGAAATATGTTATTTAATTTAATATTATTCTTTCATAATTGTTAGTTTCGTTTAGTAATGTTTGAAATAATCATCGCTTTGAAAATAAATCGATTATTAAGGTATACTAGTCGTTAACATGGCAGTAAACTCTCTGGCAATTTTACTAAAGTTATGTTGCTAGTTCCTCATTTAACATAATGTGCAATAAGATATCATTGTTCACAGTTAATAATAAACTGATTACACAAATTTAGACTGTTTTAGAAAAAAAAATTACATAAATATAGTAGCTATAATATTTATTCCCTTGTTCTAATTTTTATTGGAATCCACATTGGATTTCATAAATTAACTTCATGTATCCTTTATTTTTCAAGGTAGTCTCAAATTTAATATTTCATAAATAACTGATAATGTGATTATAAGCAGTTCTATTATTTTAAAAATCAATTAGTCAACATCATTTGATTACTTTTTAAAAATTTAAATTTTTTTTAGTCCCAAATGTTTTAGTCTATATTATATTTGTATTGCATAAGAGGATTCGTTTTAAAGGTTGTGAATGATCCTTTCCTTTTCTTCCTAGTTTATTTATTTCATTTTGTCTTTAATATTATCACATAATCAACGTTTCGGAGCTCTTTCCCATCATAAGGAATTATTTTTTGTTGCTTATAATATTATCATAAAATCTTTATCATCTTGTTTTTATATAACATTATTTGGTCGAATTATTTGTATTGGTAGGCACTAGAGGGTCTAGGGATTAATCTTGGGGGGGGGGGCTTCAACCTGAAATCCTTTTTTTTTCAGATATATAATGATGATTACTTTGGAAAAAAAAGAAAGAAACTAAATACCTATATGAAAAAGTATTTCAGTAATTCTTAAAGTGATATTAAATGTAATTACACGAACAATACTACTTTAATATATATTTTTTAAAATATTTTTTACTATAAAAAATGGTTAGATTTTACCATTTGGGGATGGAGGGTGGCTTCAGCCCGAAAGTCCCTCCCGTTGATCCACCTGTGCGTAACTATTTCTAAAACCTATTATTCATGTAAACATCCCGTGTTTTTTTTAATTTGTAAATATGGTGTGAATGTGCTCTCAGAACTCTATTATTAATGTACTTTATTGAGACAGATTGTAATATTTATCAATAAACAAATAATCCAAACTAAAAAAAAAAATAATAATAAGAATGGTAATCATCTAACTTATGGTGGATTAATACTCTCCCGCTTGTCATATGAGGACTTAAAATAAAATAAAACTATTGAGCAGATGGGCTATCTATACCCACACGTCTTGTACTCATTAGTCGCAAATAATTTTAGTAGAAGAATCCTCAAATTGAGTACGTCAGATTTTATAATTATTTTCTTAATTTAAGAAATTACTTAATGTATCATTAATTTACTTAATGTAACAGTTTAATCTTATTATTTTTTGTGGATGTGAACAATTTAAAAAATGATCTTTGAAATGTGATGCATCTAGGGAGGAGTTATTTAGTTTTGCTTTTCAGTTTTCTGCACTTATGCCCGATATAAACGGCAGAACACGAACATTCAATCGAGTGGACCCCACTCTTACTTAAAGGATCAACTCGATCTTTAGTTCTGGAGACCACGTTTTTTAAACTTGTAAAAGGTTTAAGGGCCACAATTTTTTCCGTCTCTTTTAAAAATATTATTAATTTTATAAGTATTAGGACCTATGTATGTAATTGTTCTGAAATCATTAATATTATTATATTGTGGACTGTTATAAGTTTAATTCAATAATTTAATGGGTCTTTTATTTCAATTTTTTTTGACTCTGAATATCTCTAGAAGCAGACCACAGGTGTAGTTGAATTTTCCTGA